GTTTTTAAAAGTTTGATATATTTTTTTGTAGCTAGATTTCTTTCTGGTCAAAAAGTTTATAATGTTGACATAGGAGCTAGAGTTCTTAAAGAGCACACTAGAAAAACTGCAGCATTAAAAAAAGTTATTTTTAAAAAATAATCAACTGACAGCATTCCTAGCATTCCTAGAACATTAAACAATTAATTAGCACTCAGGGTTCCTCCCTCCCCCAGTATATTTCTTTTACTACTAAAATTCCCATTACTTTACATAAACACTATAATCTATTTTAGTATATCATGTATATTTTTTTATATAAAATGATATACTAAAATAGATTATAGTGTTTATCATGTATATTTTTATATATAAAATGTTGCTAGGAACTGGCTATAACTTAGCGTCATTTTCAAATACAATAGAAGAGAACTTGAGGCTTCTAAAGCAGAATAAAGATGATTCATAAGAGTCAGGATATGAAAAGCTTTTAAATGGTACAACTTGTAATTTGAAATATTTAAACAAAATAAAGGCATTGTTATGCTATGGCATCAAAAACTATGTACATATATCAAACCCCTAAAGGCACATGTGTTTTGAACAAACATACAACCGTTTATTTAAAATTCCCTAAAGTAAAATATGTTAGAGAAACTGATTGAACTAGCCTTACATAATGCTTTTAAAAATAAAAGCCAATGAAGGAGAAACTTTGAACTGTTACAGTTGCCTACCTCTAAAATTTTCTATCATTAAACAAATCAATTCAGTAGCTGATTTCCATAAGCACTGAGCATCTTTAGTGCTCATTGAAAATATGAATTTAGGAACTTAACTTCAAGCGACCCTTTTTAACAATCTTGGCTATTCTTCTCAAGAGAAACATTATCTTTAAAATATTCTACATTTGCATGGGACAGAGCCTCAGGCCTTGTCTACAATTGCCAGAAAATTAATGCTGTGGAGCTCAATCTCCCAGGCGTCAATTTAGTGGGTCTAGTAAAGACCCATTAAATTGACTGCTGATCACACTCCAGTTAATTCCAGTACTCCAACTGGTTTGCAAGGAGTTAGGGGAGTTGATGGGAGAGTTTCTTCAGTATACTGCTGCTTATTTTCAGGGAGAACGGCTCCTGCGCAAGAGGGGTATTTTGTGCAAGAAGGACCAGTGTAGACAGCTCCTTCTTGTGCAAAAGCCCCTTCCCCCAAAATGGTGGCTCATTAGGTATGCAAATGAGGCACAGCCTCATTTGCATGTCTTGTGCAACAATGCACGAAGTAGACATAGCCGAGGTGTTTTGATCGATTTTTACCATACTTTTTTGTAGCATCTGACATTTCATTCTAAATATTAAGTTGAAGGCCCAGTCAGATTCTATTATACATGAGTGGTCCATGTTTATTGAAAATTCCATTCTCCCTGAGAAGGATGTCATGGGAGAGAAGACAGCCAGCCAGCCAGGTTTTAGGATCAGTATCTATCACCTCACATAGATAACACTATTGGGTTTTAGAGCTTGCTGTAGTTGAAAAGTTCAGAACAGACGCCTTAGGAGGCCAGAAAATTACAAGCCAACCTTTTTCAACTCACTCTCAGAAAGAAAGGTCAAAGTTGAGATGCTCCTGAACCAATTTATGGAGTTTGAGTTACATATATTAAACTTGTCTTTGCATACAGCAGTGCTATTAAGCTAGTGTACAAAAACACATTCCTGGATGGATTTGGGATTGAAGAATAGCTTCTCTTTTTAAGGCCTTCAACATTGTGAATTTAATTCTCTAACTACCAGCTGTTAGTTACAAGGTGCAGTCAGTTTTGTACTCAGCAACTTTGACCATTTTGGTAGTTTCATTTAATCAAATCAGTTTAGGGAGTTAAGACGGCCAATCACCCCTGTCAAGCATTTCAGCTCCTTTTCAAAACAAATGCATTACAGTGAAAACAAACTACAGGTTGAACCTTGCTGGTCGGGCACTCTCGGGACCTGGGTGGCCCAGAAGGAGGGAATTTGCCAAATCAGGAAAGATCCCTCCTCTCCTGACCCAGGTTGTCACCAGATTAGGGCCCCAGGCCTCTCTGGATGCCTCTGGCCCTGCAGCTGCCAGAGCACAATGGCCAGAGCTCCACTGCTGGGGTTACCTTCTCTCCCTCCCACATACACACGGGGGCTCTCGGCTGAGTCACGGGTGCCCCCTATGGCGCTGCAACCCCACTGCTAGACCTCCCTGTTCCTAGGCTCTGTGCTTCAGGATTGTAATCGCCAGACCATGGATGTTGCAGGACCTGGGAGTCCATTAAGGGATGAACAAACTGTAATACGTATTTACTGCATTTAATAACTGAAGTGGCAATATAATTAAAATGCTGTTATTTAATCCAGACAGTACACCAATAGAGGCTATCAAAAACTGTACTCTTGGCCATTCTAAACTGTAGCTTCACATCCCATCGGTATGTAACCTCACATACATACTTTAAAATATCAATTGCCTAAATGTGAACATTCAATTTTTGTTCACAAGGATCAGTCTCTCACAAGTCTCACATTGCCTTTGCTTATATCAAAAGCATGGTGCCAGGTTGTCCTCTCTGCACACAACTTTGCAAGGGAAAAAGAAATGTGCCTGGGGCTTTTGTTTTGCTGAAAACCAAAGTCACTCCCTCCTCAACAGTGGACAGGAGTTAGCAAGTGAGAGTGAAGAAGGTATAGCAGTGTGTTGAGCCTAGGTATTTTGGACACAAGTGCTGTGTTTCTCTTTTTCCTAGTATGCCTTGCAATTACACTGTCATTCATTGCCCCTTATAAGTGCACAATCCCACCCTTTTTGGAGGCATATCAAAGGTATGGAATGCAAGTCACTGGTCAGGGTGACTAAAATAATTTCTGCCTCATTTGCCACTTCTCAGGAGACTTGCCACTGACTACACCTCATTCTTGCCATTCATGCTGTTCTGCCAGACATCTCCTACAAGCCCTGCTGTTTAACTTTAACCAATAAGTATTACGCACTAAGGGTGATGCTAACCATTCACATCCTTAGTTAAAAAAAAAAAGTGGTTCTGTAGCACCTCAGTGACTAACAAAAACAATATATATAGTATCATGAGCTTTCATGGGCACAACTCACTTTTTCATATGAATGGAGCCAAAAAACAAACCACCACCTTTATATTGGAAAAGCTCATAATACTATATACAGGGCTCGACAAACAATACAATCTACTTACACCTTCCTGTGTGCACTCGCTCTCGCAGAGCCACCTCCTCCCCACCCCATGTGTAACATGTAACCACTGAAAATTCCAACAGTTACAGGTTTACCAAAAAACCTGCATTAAAATTAGGGATGTTACAATGAGCCAAATAGCAGACATGTTGTTTTACATGGTGTATCAACCATTAGCTATGTTCTAATATTAGTTGAAGATCAACCTCTGAAATTCTTGTGAGGCTCGTTTTTATGCAGTCAAGAATTAAAACTGCTGCCATCTGTAAAGCCAAGTGTTTGGATTCCTCACAGTGGTATATAAATAGATGTTAGTAACTCTGGCTGAAATGGACTGCGAGATCAGTAAGGTAGAACTGAAATTAAGCAGTATATCTTTGTTTGTGCTTTCATAATCCACCATAGTCAAATCTAATACAGGTTAAACCCCTCTAGTTTGGCACCCTGAGCACCTGACCAGTGCCAAACCACCAATTTTGCTGAACTATGGTAGATCAATATTGTCTAGCAGCATTACCAACATTGCCACTACTTACTGAGCTCTTAGAAGCCATTTAGGAGTAAATTAGAGCTAAACAGCACAGGGCCAGTAGAACTTTGAGGCTACAGGAAACTTGGCCATAGCTCATTGTCCACTTATCATGGATAACTAAAAATCATGGCAGACCAAGGATGCTGCCAGCCCACAGTGCCGGACTAGACAGGTTCAACATTTAGTCCATACATTTGAACACTGTTTAAACAACTACCACACAAAAGTCGTACGTCAGGGAAGACATCCAGGACAGGAGAAAAATATCATCCTTAGGCAGAGGGCCTGAACCATCACTCGCATACAGGTGTATGGATAAAACTGAGTAGTTTCTAGTATCTGTAAACACAAATTAACAAGTACTAGCATGATTTAATAAGCACTAAGGATGTTAAAAATGTAATTATCTGGCTAATCATATAGTCAATTAGTCATTAAGAACTGCTCTACGGATCCGCAGAAGGGCTAGCAGCTCCAGGAGCCAACTGGAGCAGTCCCGGATTGTCCTTATTGCTGCACCTATGCATTTTAAAGGTAGTAAGAACCATTGGGCTCTTTCTATGTTTAAAATGCAGAGGCACAGAGATCAGCATGAGCCGGGACTGCTCAGTCCTGACTCACACTGAGTCCATCAGCCCCTGTTCATGCCAGACCAGCCTCTGACAGCCCGCATTGACCACCATGAACAGAAAATGCTCTGGCACCAGCCCCCGTTCGGGAAGGGGCGGGGGGAGAGACAGCTCCCCACTGGGACCCCTGTGGACAGGGACTGCTTCACAACAGCGTCCGCTATTCCCTCCCTGCTGCCTCTGATAGAAGCAGCAGGGGATGCAGGAGGCACCCTGGAGATGGTGCTGGGGGGAGCCAGTTTTAAGCAGGCTTCCCACAGTATTGGCTCCTATCCCCCCCCCCCATCATTGCTGCCTCTCAGAGGTGGTGGTGGTGGGTGGGTGGCGTGGCTGCAGAGAGCACAGGACAAGCAGGGACTGCTTGAGTCCCTGATAGCCCTGTGCTCCCTGTGGCACTTTCTTTTTTGAAAAGCAGAAGCACCTGCAGTAGGAACCAGCGCTAGCTTCAGTCCCCGCTTGTGCCATTTCCCCACTGTGCCTCTGCCCCCCGTGGAGATGCAGCATAAGAGAAACCTGTGACCTTCTACCTGATAAGGGAAGGCAGACAGTCACAAGCTTTTAATACGAGTGAGATGTAGAAAATATCTTCTCTTCAAATAGGCCTCTTAAGGAAAAAAGAACAAAGTAAGTTCTCACTGAAATATTTTATACAATTAGCTTTTCAAAATGTGTTTTTTCCACCTTTATTACACTTAACATTCGTGAATGATTATGATAACTTCATTTTGAATTTTCCTCGTACAGTGATATATAGGCTCCAGACTTAAGAAAATTTTTTTATCAGCACACATGCATTTTGTACTGAGGCAATGAACTTCAAATATCCTGTCCACATAAAATAAGCTTTTTTTTTTTTTTTTAAGCCAAACAATTTCATATTTATCCATGAAAAGGATCATGTTTCCATTTCCAAATTGTCTATGTGGTTTGTAACTTCTAAAACTGATTGCTATTTTAAGATTCGGGCTTTTTTTGAATACCGTTACACAATGTGAGGCACATGCATTCCAGTTCAGTAAAAAATTGAAGACAACTCTGTACAATTTTGCCAGTTTTCTCTTTCAGTATCTCAGTTCAAATTCATGAATAGTAATGTCCCATCCACACCGGTCATAAAGTGCCAGTGACAGGCTCACTTTTTCTTCTTTCCTTTGCCTTTTTTGCCTCCCTCTCCTGGCTGGAGATTTTGGTCACTACCTGCCATTTTTTGTGTCCTTGTTTTCAGTTTTGGAATTGTTTCTGCTGCATATAGCATCACTGATTTACCTAGAAACAAAAGGCAAGGGTTAATTAGCATGAATGTTTGTAAAACTTTTAACAGACTCCCTACCTAATGTTAGGGCCTACCTGGAACCCCCAGTAAGTTTGATACACAAGCTCTGCTTCTTTTCCCTGTACTGGTGGGAAACCAGGTGCTCTATGGAAGTAGGGCACTCACTGTTTGCTGGGGGAACTTGTGCAGAGCAGTTTTAAACTGAATCATTAGAACTAATGGAATAGAACAAAGTCACAATAATTTGGGACCTAATCAAGGAATTGAGTTGCTCTTTATCAATCAGATCATGATCAAGTTTGCAGATACATAAGAGGTGCCCTAGACCTCCCTCTCCGCCTTACTTCTCCCACAGCAGTTACTTGCTTCACAAGTAACACCAGAGAGGAAGATCACGCCTCCAAAAGGCATAATGTCATCTTTATATAGGCTTGGTGTGCTAATATTGTAAATAGCTGGGGCTAGTCTGGACCTCAAAAGGACAAGCGAATGGACAACCAGAACATGTTGCAAGGAGGCAAGATACTGACCTAACTATTTGCTCCCTCCAGAAGACTCCATGACTCTAGCTTCCCCTTTTGATCAGTGGAACTCATGGGGCCATCATACCATCAATGACACTTTCTAGTTTCCAGCAGTTTCATTCTTCCACCCTGTGGATTGATCTTTGCCCTTATCCTTTCTGCACACTAGTCCCTTACTTATCTGTCAACATTAATAAGGCTTCTTTAGTTAGGCCAGTTTTTAGATTTCCTATGAGCATTCTAGGCAGAAAATTGCAATGTCAAACAGGATTACTAGAGTCAACTGCACTGAAATTTAACTGAGGTATGACAACAGTTTACACAAGAAAAAACAATTTGGAAGCAAAAAAAGTGGTTTTGGAGAGAAACTTTCTACCTCAACATGGTACTTTAAAATAGCGCTGCTGCTTTGTTGGAGATAATGGTCACTCAGTGTGCCAAAACAACGTTCAAGTCCCAATTTTTAAAAGGAGAATGAAGCCAAGTGAGGAAAAACAGGACTAAAGACTAATCTCTAAAATAGAATCATGTTTTCACTAAGGTTCACAACATTTAGCTACCAGTTTCTATGGTTTACAGTGGCCAAACATGTCAAATGGTAGATCTAAAATGCATAACGACAAGGTTCTCTATTAATATTTTAACAGACTGGTCACAATAACATTAGTGTGGGAGACACAAACACAGCTTGACACAGAAAAAGCTAATGCCTGTTACAAGTAGATAAAATGCATAGTTACTCAAGTTTTCTGCACATATGCCCTCAACAAATACTCCACTCACGTGTTGGAAACTGAGGTAAACATGGGTTGCCATCCTCCTGCTTGAGCTGAATTCTCACTCTGCCCCTATATTGCATATCACGGTTCCACTCTCTAGGGTACAACTTGTTCTTCTAGCATGTAGAAAAAAGAAAAACAGTTAAACTAGAGATTGACAGCCAGAAAGTAATTTCATAATATAAGCAGACATTAAAGAAATATGAATTTAAAATTGCTCTGTACTAAAATGTCCATAACCAGTGGACCCTGCTCATAGATGTACAACTTTTTGAGGGAGGGGTCATAGGCACGTGGACCCCAGGTGCATGCTTTGAAAATGAACTGTCTCATATGTTTATTGAGAAAATATGTTCACATGCTAGACTTGTAACTAGCTCAGTTGTATGTATACTAAATTTCCTAAAATTTTGTTCCAAAGTTAAGGCAATCTAGGTATGAGCTGGATTAGTGAGGATAAAGTGAATACTGTTAAAACAGCAGAAAACATTATTTCAAAGGAAAGAATAGCTATCCTTGCCCAGATTTCTCTTGGGGGTGGGGGAAGGAGGAAGAGAACTCAAAAAGCAGGGAGATGCTTGAAGACATACTGATAAAAGTAATTACACATGATACAAAGATTGGTGAAGAAATGAACAAATGATGTGGACAGGACCATCAAAGCCACCTGTATCACTTGATAACCTGAGCCCATTTGCTCAGAAGGCATTTTAAAATACCCAAATGCAACGTTATACATGCAAGAACAGGAACACAGGGCACACATACAAAATGGAGGGGGAACTGCTTCGTGAAAAGCAGCTACTGAAAAAACTTAAGTCAGAACAAAAGAACAACTGAACAAGAGCACCTATTCGGATTCTGTATTAAAGAGTCAATGGGAACCTTGGATGCATAAAAAGGGGACCAGTGAGTACAAAGGTGATTTTAGCATTGGTGAGTCAGATACTGGAATGCCATGTTAGTTTGGCTGTCCATACGACAGTAAAACTCCATTAGTCCGGCATCCAATGCTCCGGCACCATCAGGAACCCGGAAGTGCTGGGGCAGCCGGACAGGCTTCCCCCATTCAGCTGCTGCAGAAACTGACCAGCAGCTGAATCGGGGACCCCTGGGGCAGAGCAGCTCGGTGAAACTGACCAGCAGCTGAATTGGGCAAGCAGGGAGAAGAGCAGCTGGGGTGCTGCCGGGTTGGTCTCGTAGCACTGCCCCTCAGGGCTGCGGGACCAACCCAGCAGCACCCCAGCTGCTCTATTGCAAGCATCCCCGATTCAGCTGCTGCTGAAACTGACCAGCAGCGGCTGAATCAGGGATGCCTGGGGCAGAGCCGGACTATCGTAATGGGGGGCTATGAGGGGTCTGGGGTGGAATCCCCTCCCACCCCACTCCAGACTCCATAGCCCCCCCTTCTGATAGTCCGACATATCTGATAATCCGGAACCCCCGGGTCCTAAAGGTGCCGGATTATCGGAAGTTTACTGTATAAAGATATGGAAAAACTGTCGAGGGTGAAGAAAAAGCTACAGAAATTATTCAAGAACTGGAAAAAAAAATCCCTTCTGTGAAATCTCAATCTATTTAGCTCAACGGCTCTCACCCTGTTCGAACTACTGCATCCTTTTCAAGAATCTGATTTTAGTTTATCCAAAAAAATTGAAAGGTGACTTGATTATAGTAAGTAAGAAAAAGTACTGTGTAATAAAAAGCTCCTTAATCTAGTGGAGAAAAACATAAGAACAAATGGCTAGAAATTAAAGCCAGACATACTCAAATTAGGAAAAAAAAACCCTTGAGGGCGATTTACTACAGTAACATACCACCAGAGAGAAGTGGGGGATTCCTTTCTTGTAGACTTCAAATCAAGATATGTTTAAACCAAACCCATATTATCAGTCTCAACTCAGGGTAACTGGATGTAATGAAGTGACCTGTGACATACAGAAGGTCAGACTAGACAATCTAATGGACCCTTCTGACCTTAAAACAAAAAGCCTTGGTTTAGACATATGGAAACCATACATGGGACTTAAAATTCTAAGTATTGTGAATTACTATACTTACTGAAGAATCTCAATAATATTTTCATCTTTAAATAGATATATTACCATCAGGTAACTATGGTTTTCTATTTTGTGCAAATTTTGTTTAGGATTTTTAAAATGCATTTTAATGATGGTTAATTGTGCCATGTATGTAATAGCAGTTATGAAAGGAAAATTAATTACATGTAACTTAGCTGCATACTAGGGATGTGAAATGATTAAACAGGCTCATCAGTTACATGTGCACCATTCCCCCATGCTGCTGCCTCTGTTAAAATGAATTCATTTAGGTAAGTGTGTAACCACTGAAGATTTAAGTGGTTAAACATTTACATGGGGCAGAGAGGCCAGCTCCCCATGTGTACTGGCTCCTGAGCTTGTAGCCCCTTTCCTCCCATGCTAAATAAATGCATTCTGCATACCTATTTGTGTTAAACATACTGGTAAAGTCAATGCTCCCAAAGTTCCAGAGATGAGCCACATGCCCTGATGGAAGTTATTTGAAAGGAGTATGAAACATTACATCTCAGTACTCTATCAGCACTGCATTTTGATAAATCTGATTAAAGTTTAGTCAATTTTATGTTTGAAGCTTGTAACTTAGAAATGAAGGTGGCATCATGAGAGCAATCCACACAGAACACAAAGGAAAGAGTCTCATCTAGAAAAAAGGGAAAGATATAAATCTTTGACATTCTTAAAGACAGAGAACATTGCATGTTGCACCTCTAGTGCATGAGGGGAAAGGTATCTTTAAAAGCCCTGGGATTCTAGATAGCTCAAGAGTGACCTAGTATAATTTAGGCAGATAAAGTTACAACACATGGATGCCTCTCAGCAGCTCAACACCACAGTGTTAAGGCCTTATATCTCCATCATACTTCCCATGCTTAGAGAGCCATAGGCTGTGTTAAGCAGAAATCACAGCTGAAGAACTCTTCCTCAGGTGGCTAAGGGGCTTTTATAGCTTCCATACAGCATACTAGGGGCAGGCCAAGGAATGTTGATATGCATCAGAGATTCAGAAGGCTATAAAGGGACTACTGAAATCATAAGACAGAAGTACTTGAAAGTCCCTTTCAAACAACAAATGTTCTAAAATTTTCCTTGACATGCTGATGAAACCAATTTAATGATCTACTTCTTAAACTGTTATCAATACAAAATGCGAGGCTCATTTGAAAGTTATGAAACCCTTTGCAATGCTTAGTAAAAAGTTCTTCTTCTCTTTCATTTGGCTCTGCTTCCATTTCACAAGTCACGACTGCTATTTATGTTTCAAAGGGACAAGAAAAAAATAGAGCCAGCTCTCTGAAAGCATAGTAATAAAGGTATATATGCTTGGAAATAAATCAAGGTCCTTAAATATAAATTTTTCAATTTTAATTACGATATTATAGACTATTACAACTGATTGTACGTAAAAAAAAAAATCTGATTTTTGAACATATTATAGACTATTACAACTGATTGTACGTAAAAAAAATCTGATTTTTGAACGTTTAAGATGGTGTGTTTGAAATCTGTATCCAAATGGTCAAGTTTTAGGTATTATTTTATACTATTAGGCATTTCATGCACCAGAGAACAGCTGAAGTGTTCTTTACCTCTCAAAAAAAATCTATTTAAATTCTTTACAAGGATAATCATATTGATGAAAATCTAAATGCTTTTGTGAAGATAGAAGCTTTACACTATTCACTTTTAGGTTAAATGTAAGGTAATTACTCTTTTCTGCTGTCAAAATGCACTGTGTGACAATGCAGTTAAACAATTTTAAAGCAAAAAGATGACACACATTCAGGAGGTAAAACTAGAATTTCACCCTGTTACTCCTACACGAAGCTCAATAACTTGTATTTGGCCAACACATCTGCAAGAAAGGCACCCAGTTCTGATGTGAAGATGCCAAGAGAAGAACAACTTCTCTTGCTAGTTAGTCCTAAATGCAAATTACTTTTAATGTTAACAAAATTTAAATTAGAAATTAGGCACAATTGTCTGGCTTCATCTTGCAGAGACTGTTTTTTGTTTCTCCAATAGGTTAACGAGCCCTTCGGTACCTATATTTTCTCATCACAGCAGTTAAACACTAAAAGACACCTGTTGTACTCTGATAAGCTAAAAAGACTGAGCTCAGTAAATCTACTATAAGATGCTCTCTAGCCCTCATACTTCAAAATTTTTGTACTCAATTGTGCCAACATCCACTTAACTTGTAAGTTTACTTACAGTCAAAGAAATCAAAGGACTTGGTTAATAAGTTTGCATGACAATGTTTTTTCTACATCACATTTTCTTGAATATGTGAAAAATTAAGTCTTTATCCAAATGTATTTCATATTACCTCTATAAGCACATTGAGTCCAACTGCTGCACATACATCTTGGATTTCTGTAGATGTGGGATTTTCAACAGCCTATTAAAAAAATTAAATTACTATATTTTCTTTTAAAAATTACTTACTGCTGAGAAACAAATGCATACTAATTAGGTTTTGACTGGATGGGTTCCTGACATCCCTCAGGGAAAGAACCAGTTAGGGAGAGGCAGGGCACAAAGAACAGAGAAAACAAATCTGCTTGCTTCTCCATTTTATGAAAGTTATTTGTGAACCAGAACCTGTACATTTCCTGGAATATATAAAAAAGAAAGGAACCAAAGGAAAGCAGCAGCATGGATTGAAATATTAGCTCTAGAGAGGCCTGAGTAGGAACTCAGGAAGGATGGGGACAGATTTAGTACTTTCATGGGCTTATGCAACAGTCTCACTTGGGCTGACACCTGGGCTCTAAGACAAAAGGCAATGTCTACTCTGTTATTATTAGCTCATAGCACAAGCCCAGTCTGAGACCCAGGTGCAGAAACTTGCTATTGCAGGTGTGCATGGGTGTTTGCCTGTGTCAGAGATTGAAGAGAAAGGAACAGAAGACCAGGAAATCAGTTATTGGAGAGGTAGGGGCCTAATCACTCAAATGACAGACTCAGCTACTAGTTCAAGTTAAAATTGCCTTTTTGCTATCACAGAAAAAAAAAATCTAACAAAGCATATGGAGAATATGGATGTTTTAGTAGTCATTGTTTAATCTATGGCACTTCTCAGTAAGTTATATAGTGTATGTCTATTCCATTATCAGCGGGTTTCCTATTGGATCCTGAGCACTAGTTGTGGACACAGAACAAACAAGAAATAGTACATTTAGTTATGTAAATGTGTTCTATTGTCAGACAGCCTTGATATCACAGAGGCCTCTACAGTCAAAACAAGAGTGAAAAATACTGATATCTAAACTACTTAGATCACCAAATTACAAGCAAATTATTAAGGTAGCCTTATTAAATCCTTCTTGTCCAGGTGATCAGTATTTGTTCCCCTCATCACTGCAAGATTGCGTCCTGGGCTAGTAAGCTTTCCAGTTTTTTGAGGTTGCATCCAGTCTTGCTGTGTTTGAGCCTTGTTCATGTGAAAACAAGAAGCTGCAAACCCAGTCTTTCCCATGTTGAATTCACATTTTAACACCAATGCCCAGTCTTCATATAGGTTACAGAATTCAATTTTCTCCCCTTCTCATCAAAAAAAGCAGCGGTGTCCTCAATTGTTAGTTCCTTCCCAAACTCCCTCCAAGCTATTGTGATGCATCTTAGTTTTCCCAGGCCACCCACAAATTACTTTGTCCACAGGTATTCTTCTTCCTTCTGCTATTGTCTTCTTGTTATTTAAGTAAGCTGGATAGATGCAGATGAATCTAAAAAAAAGTAATACAAATTTATTGGAAAATACTGGCTTATAGTATCTTCTAAAGTACATAAAACCCCCTAAAGGAGGGGTGGGCAATAATTTTTTGCCAGGGACCACTTAGGAAATTTTTGAAGTGGCCCCGGGCCACACAGGAAGTGGCGGGGCATCAAGCAGAAGGGGTGGGCCCCAGATACTTCCGGGTTCCCCACCCCTAGACAATGATTGGTCTGTGGGTGAGGGAGTACCTTTTCCCCCACCATGTTCTCCCTAGGTGCCCATGCCCCTGGCGTGGGAGGAGACTTCCTGCACTTCCCTGCCTCATGGCCAATCATGGCCTGGGGGCGGGGCAGCGTGCAAAGCCTCCTCTGCTCTGCCCTGGCCCTGTGAGCAGCACATGGCACTTCAAAGCAGCATGTGCTCCTGTCAGGGAGGGAAGAGGCTTCGCACGCTCCCCCACAGGCTGGATCCACCTGCTTGGCAGGCTGAATCCAGCCCACAGGAGGTCCTTTTGCCCACCCCTGCCCTAAAGGAATACCCATTTCTAAAACTTAGAAACTGTTACACCAAATCATATCATGGTTTTACTTCATAATAGCCAGACTGTGCAAGTACCAAACAATTCAGGAGAAAATGCAAAAAATAAATCAAACAAAAAAAAACCCACCCACCCACCATACTGTGGATAATGATGTAATGATCATAGTGAGAGCTTTTCCCTCCAGTATAAAATTAGTGCATAGTTAAAGCCCAGAAATATGAATTTTTTATATCCCTTACAATTTTGTCCTATTTTAAGCAGATATAAAAGCTATTAACTTACAAGGTTTGAAATCTTGCAACAGAACTCCATTAGCTAATTATGCAGCTTTAATTAGTCATCTTCCAATTTCATTTGGAAACAAATTCTAGTTTTATTAGAATAAGCAGGACTTTCTTACTAACCTTCACTACATTGACGATTATACTAGGGATGTTAAAATTTGTTTAAATAAATGAGTAACTTCTGAAATGTTTAGTGGTTACATGCAAGGGGTTGGGAGGGTGACAGTTGGCTTCCACCTGACCCCCCGCCCTCATGCTGCTGCCTGTCATACAGAGGTAGCAGCATGGGGAGGTTGAGGAGGGGTAGCTCTTCTTGCGAACTGAGTGCGCCTACATGTAGCCGTGAAGGTTACTGAACAGTGTACAGGCAGTCCCCGAGTTACGTGGATCCGACTTATGTCGGATCCCTACATACGAACGGGGCTTTTCTCGCCGCGGAGAACGGGGGCGGCGGGACCGCCCAGATGTACCGTGGTCCCGCCGCCCGCGGCCTCCACGGCGAGAAAAGCTGCTCCACGTCTCCCTGGTCTGCTGGGGGGGGGGGGGGGGGGGGGCAGGCCCTCTGCAGAGGACACGGGCGGTCCTGCCACCCGCGTCCTCCGCGGCAAGAAAAGCCGCTCCGCATCTCCCTGGTCTGCTGGGCCCCCCCCCCAGCAGACTAGGGAGACACGGAGCAAAGCCACGGAGGACGCGGGCAGCGGAGAACATGTGCTGCTTCTATTTGCAAGCACTCTCACTGATGATAGCCTAGCTCCTGGAAATGAGAAGAGGAATGTCAACTACATGATTAACCAATAAATTTGGGCTTATCGGTTAATCCTATTGACTATAAAAGCACTCCACCCTTCCCCACCCCCAGGTGCCTCTGTATCAAAGGCAGAGAGAAGGAAGAAGAGGGAGGCAGGCAGCAGCATGGGGTAGAAGGTGGGAGCCAGTTTTTAAAACCAGCTCCCCTTGTAGGCTGCTGCCATCTCTGATACAGAGGGGCAGCAGCGCTGACTGGCAAGGGGCTCCCCAGGAGCCAGGCTAGGAGCACACTGGTTGCCATCCCTATTGGTAACCACTAAAATTGTATGTGGTTACACAATTATTCAATTACACAGTATCTAACATCCTTAGCTGAGAAGAAGATCTGGCCTGTGGAGGCCTTGCTGCTCCACCCCCACCCTGCGAGCAGCACACAGTGCTTCAAATCACCATGTGCAGGGCAGGGGCAGAGTGGAGAAGACTTCATGCAACCTGTCTCCAGACCTTAATTGGCCTGGAGAAAGGGGAGCACATGAAGCCTCCTCTCACCCTGACAGGTGCATGTGGCACTTTGAAGCACCACGCCTGCTCCCAGAGTGGGAGGAGAGGCGAGGCTTCGCACACTCTCCCGCCCCCAAGCCAATCAAGGCCTGGGGAGCTGTGTGAAGCTTCCTTCACCCTGCCCTAGCCCTGCAAAGAGCCCTTGGCACATCAAAGTGCCACATGCTCCTCGGAGGGTAGGAGAAGGAGTACCGCACTCCCCCACCCCCAGACCCTGAATGGCCTGGGGGTTGGGAGCATGCCAAGCCTCTTCCAGGGCATGGGTGCCTAGTGGGGGGTGGGGTGGAGAGAAGGGGCTCTCCCACCCTCCAGCCAATTGTAGCCCAGGGCTACTTCACAAATTTTTGAAGGGGCCCCTGGGCAAAAATGATTGCCCACCTCTGTTCTACAGGCACAGGGACAGCACCTGAAGCTGCCAGACTCTCAGCATCAACTCTCACTCTGCCTCCCGACCTCCCTTAATGTTGCACCCTCTCCCCCCAGCCCAAAGGCTTTTTCCCACCCTCTCCGTCTACAGGGTCAGGACTCAGAGGACAGTAGATAATTAGTTCAGGCACCCTGAGCAGCTCCGCAAGCGAGGTGGGCAGGTATAAACTCTTCCTTAATTTCTTTACAGGAAATCGTTCCCTACCCCCAGCTCCCTTCCGCAGCAGCCTCCATCCCAGACCCCGCAGCCCCTCCATCAATATCAGGGCCCCTGACTTCTTACCAAGCTCTCGGAGCGGCCCCCTCCGTCCAAAGTTACTGCCCGCCCCCGGCTTAGGGCCGCACGCTGAAGTGCAGGCCCCCGAACGGGCACAGCCCCTCCTGCAGCCTGAGCGAGGCACCGCCAGGTCACCCGGCGCTTCGCTCGCTGCCCCTGGAGCAGCCTGCGCGGCCCCACGCGCCTTTGCACCGGGCCGGGACCACTGCGCCAGGGAGCGCGGGGCAGCGCCGAGGCGTCCCGGGAACTTGCGAGAGCCTCGAGAGGCAATCCCGCCCACAGACTCGCGCAAGCTCTCGCTGCCACATTGCTATTGGACGGTAGCCCTGTCGCTCAGGCAAGACGCTACACGGGGCGTCGCGTGTGTTGTGCTCCAACTCTCGCGGGAGTTGAATTGGGCTTGCCAGCCGGGCGGCCAGTTGCCGTTTAGCTTCGTTCTGTAGCGGTCTAGGGTGCTCGTCACCCTTTTACCCGCGCGTGGCGGATAGTGCGCAGCTGCGAGGCCGGTGTAACCGCAGCGTCAGCCCTGTCGCTCAGGCAAGACGCTACACGGGGCGTCGCGTGTGTTGTGCTCCAACTCTCGCGGGAGTTGAATTGGGCTTGCCAGCCGGGCGGCCAGTTGCCGTTTAGCTTCGTTCTGTAGCGGTCTAGGGTGCTCGTCACCCTTTTACCCGCGCGTGGCGGATAGTGCGCAGCTGCGAGGCCGGTGTAACCGCAGCGTCGTAAGGCAGGGCTGGGAGAACTAGAAGGGCTGTAAAACCAGCCCCCTGGTGGCACCTTACGGACTAACAAAGGCTGGGGCACTAGTGGAAAAAGTACCCAAAAAGTGACTTGAGTAAAAGTGCTGCTACTTTGAAAAAACTGTATTTAAGAAAAAGCCAAAGTATCCTTCTGGATACTTGAGTACAAGTACAAAAGGAACACATTGTACTCAAGTACCCACAAGGAAAAAGTAGCTGCCCTGTGGAAATCTATGTGATACACATAATAGGGAAGAGCAAGGCCCTTGCCAGATTACCAAATTCTTGGAGTGCCCCCCCCCCTTCATCAAAAGTTACTGGCCACCCTGGCTTAGGGCCCTATGCTGAAGAGCAGGCCCCCAAACAGGCACAGCCCCTCCGCCAGCCTGAATGAGGCACCACCAGATCACCCTGCCTCTCACTCCCTGCTCCTGGAGCAGCCTAAGCCGCCCCACATGCCTTTCTAGCAGCCTAGAATCACTGCCATCATAAGTCTTGCTAAAACAAAAGGAAAAACTATGTAGCACTTTAAAGACTAACAAGATGGTTTAATAGCGCTTTCCTGAGCCTGACCCACTTCCTCAGATCATATTCTGAAAGAGAATCGCAAGACCATACATACCAAAGGAATACAATGAAAAAAGTGAACACATTATTAAACTGACAAATCAGATTTAGAACAGAAGGTGGAGGGGAGGGAAGGAATAGTTGTTTATAAGTCAATGAATGGCTAATTAGAGGTGATAAGTAGGGAAGCTGTTTTTATAATGTGTAAAGTAATTAGCATCTTTGTTAAAGCCCATTCGTAAAATGTCAAATTTAAGCATGAATGAAAGTTCTGAAGTTTCTCTTTGTAATCTGGTGTAAAAGTCTCTTTGAAGCCCTGATTAGCCATTCATTGATTTATAAACAGTTATTCCCTCCCTCCCTCTCTCTGGCCCCACTCTCTGTTCTAAATTGGATTTGTCAGTTTAATGACGTGTTCACTTTTTTCATTGTATTCCTTTGGTATATATGGTCATGCCAATTCTCTTTCAGAATATGATCTGAGGAAGTGGGTCAGGCTCAGGAAAGCGCTATTAAACCATCTTGTTAGTCTTTAAAGTGCTACATAGGTTTTCTTTTTGTTTTAGAAAGATCAGACTAACACAGCTACCTCTCTACTATTATCATAGGACTTGTCATGGTGTAAAGCTTGAGCTGCTTGCTTGTGGAACCAGAAGTGTAGTCTGGCTTCCTCATTCTCTTTTGCACAGTAGAAGTAAACCTTGTATATTTCTCCATCTTACTGGGGTGTTTTCTTTGCAAAGAAAATACAATCCAATACATTTTCATTTAATATTTCAATTAATGACTTCTACTTAGAGATTTAATGGCTAATTTAGCAACAGTAAGAGGGGAACACGTGTAATGCTAAAGGCATGAAAAAGGCTGTAGCTTTTTAAATCTGAGATATTAGCTCTGTTTTGTTCCAGATTCCTAGTAAAGAAAAAAGTTTTCAAAACTATAACAAGCTACTTAAATATGAAACCTAAATAATTAAAACAAACCCAAAACAGGGCTTGGTTTATTAGTGCAGGGTATGCAGTGGGGCGAGTCTTGCACGCACACTATCCATTTCATTTAGGGTCCTCATACCACACTCAGGAAGGTGTGTCAAGAGCAGAAGAAAGAAGATCGAAGTTCCAGGGAGAGGACCACTCACTTACTGAACCTTGAGGTCCATTCCTGCCTCCGCCACAGTTTTCCAGATTGAAGGCATCCACTTACCTTCCAGTTCCAGACGTCGGGATGGTGGTTGGATTGTTCTGTTGTGGGGTTTAGGGTTTTGTCAATTTTAACTTATGACAACCGGATTTATTTTATGTTTGTTCCTTAGATTTGTAAATAAACCAGTTATTGTTTAATCTCCCCTTGTCGGACTTGACTAAATACACAGTGATACAGATACGAAGCAGGTGGAGGACCTGTATTTAGCAATCAGGGCCCAGTCCTGGTCTAACAGTAGGGCATTGAAAAGTATGAAGTAGTAACTTTGAAATATATAAAATATTATTTCAGTTGAGGGTTCTGTCAAATTAGCTTGTAGTACCTACATATGTCAGCATAGAGATAGCCTCCCACTCAGCCAGGAATGTACTGTTTTGTCACTATGAAAGAATGTCACTATTAAAGACAACAGGAAGGAAAATATACTACAGTGCAATCAAGATTCTAGAGAGTTGTTAAAGAACTTCTAATTTCTGTTCCATTTTAAATGCTTACAGAATTTAGAACAATTACATTATTTAAAAAGAGGTAATATTTTCAGCATGCTAGAGCTTGAGCTTCTCCAAAAGTATATATAATGCAAATCACACAGGAGTGATATGTTGAGAGAAATACTTGCTCTGCTGAAGTTTTGCCATTAATTTCAATTGGGCCAGGATTTCACCCATGATCTTGAGAGCTGTAATTTTTCACAGAATGGAGTGAAGGGAAGGCCAAAAGAAAAGAGGTAGATATTAACTGAGTAACTGTTCCTAATGCTGTATTAAATAATGAAGTTAGAAGTGGACATAGGAGTTAAATGGAGATTTTAGAAAATCGTGCGTGTTAAGGAGAAAAATGCTCATGAAGATCTAGGCAGAATTGAGCAGAAGCTTTAACTTTATACAAGAAATGAGGGTAAGATAATGCAGAAATTGAAGATAGGAGATACAGTCAAAGCTTAAGTATTGTCATTTTAGAAATGCAAGGTGACAGGACTGAAACCCTCAGTACAGAATATGCAGGCATAGATGGATATGTAAACAGGATGATGTTCAATAAGGACAAATGTAAAGTACTCCACTTAGAGAGGAACAATCAGTTTCACACATACAAAATGAGAAGTGACTGTTTAGGAAGGAGTACCGCAGAAAGGGATTTAGGGATTATAGTGGACCACAAGCTAAATATAACTCCACAGTGTGATATAGTTACAAAAAAGCAAACATCATTCTGCAATGCAGTAATAGAATGTTGTAAGACAGACATGAGAAGTAATTCTTCCACTCTACTCTGTGCTGATTAGGCCTCACCTGGAATACTGTGTCCAGTTCTGGGCATTACATTTCAGGAAAGATGGGGAGAAATTGTAGAAGGTCCAGAGAAAAGCAACAAAAAGTATTAAAGGTCTAGAAAACATGACCTATCAGGAAAGATTTTAAAAACTGGACAAGTTTAGTCTTGAGAAAAGAAGACCGCGAGGAGACTTAACAAGGACAGTGATAAATTCTCTGTTTCCACTGAAAGCAGGACAAGAAGTAATAGGCTTCATCTGCAGCAAGGGAGACTTACAGCAGATAGTTAGGATTTCTAACTATAGGGGTAGTTAATCTCTGGAACAGGCTTCCAAGGGTGACTGTGGAATCCCCCATCATTGGAAGTTTTAAAAACATGTCAGGGATATGACCTAGGTTTTCTTGGTCCTGCCACAATGCAGGCAGCTGGACTTGATGACTTTCTAATCCTACATTTCTGATTCTGTGTTTGAACTAGGGATGTGAATGACTAGTCACTCCCCTCCCACCCTTGATGTTTCTATCAGAAAGAGGCAGCAAGGGGAGGAGAAGAGAATGGGGTGCTTCAAAGCAGCAGTGCCGCGTGAAACTTGTGACCAGCTACACGCTGCGTTTCAAAGCAGCAGCTCCGTATGGAACCCAGGGTCAACTGTGGACTCCCCTGCTGACTGCAGGCGCCATGCTGTGCTACCGCTTTGAAATGCCGCAGGGAGCACTGGGCCAGTGGAGGACTGCTTGTTCCCTGCAGTGCTTTCGCCTTTGAAGTGTATTAACAGTTCTCAGGCTGTTGCTACACTTCAAAGGCGGAAGCGCTCTTATTAACTAATCAAATAGTTGATGCAAATTGCATTGACTATTCGATTAGCCAATTAATCTAAATTTAGTTTGAACTAGATATAAATAGCCACAAATGAAACCACATAGCCTTTTTAAAGCATCAATTCAGGTATCCTTTGGCATCTTCCAAGTGCCTCCCCAGCAACTGCCTTTGCAATTAAATCATAATACTGACAAAGGAGACAGATACCTGGACCTAAGTAAATGCTAACAGAAAAAAGTTCTGCTCTGACAAAATGTAATAAAAATAAATTTTATATAGCACCGCAAGTAGTAAATAGTTTTGCATAGCAAGACTAAATCCAGAATTTGAATGTTAAACAAAATATGCGCAAATACTGTTGAAAGAAGGGTACATTAGAGTTAGGACATCAACATCAAAAGCAAGTCTCAAGCAGAAGCAAAAAACAAAAAATGAAGGGAAAGGTTGTGGCTAGAACTTGTTAAAGAGTAATAGAATTTATAGATGGAGAAATGTTCTCTGAAGTTGAAACTTGTTCCTGTGCAGAGAGCCAGCACAAAGCTTATGAAGCACTTAATTCCTACTAAAAATCTCAAAATAGGATTTTAGAGATAGTTAATTGGTGTTTAAGCCTTGTACCGGCCCTCTGCACTGGAGCAAATTTCACAAGCTCTCAGTGGGATCTTTATAGCAGTCCCCCAAGGGATATAAATAACATGTAAAAACAATAGCAATGTAACCAATTAAAATTCTGCCAGTTACATGGTTAAATATCTAACCAGGGAACTAGGGATAGAGAGGGCGCTGTAGCACCCCATTTTATCCAGGGATCCCTGCTGCCAGTCCTGTGTGCCCAGCATGGTGCCCTGACAGCTGGTCCCAGTTCTGACACCAGTGATCCCAGCATCCTGATGCTTGCCAGCACCGTGGACAGAGTTTTATAGTTACAGGAAACCAAAAAAGCATCAAGTTTATCAGTTAAATTCTCAACCAATTACCCTTTTACATCCCTAAATCCCACAGCTACAAGCAAAAGGATTCTTTGTCAAGCAAGGAACAGTTCCTCTGAATGCTGCAGAAGCCTAAGTACCTATAATGCTTGGAAATTATAACATATCAACTAGATTTTTGCAAACCTGTTCCAGATGGGGATTACCAATTTTAGATGTGGTCTCCTGGTAGGGAATAAAAAACGCAGACAGTTCAATTAAAGCCCTGGATGAGAACAAACAGTAGATGAATGACATCATGTAATGAGAACTTATCAGATGACCTTTCACCATCAGAATGTCCATCCAGTGAAGCAAAATGCAGGACAATGTAGCACTTTAAAGACTAGCAAGATGGTTTATTAGATGATGAGCTTTCATGGGCCAGACCCACTTCCTCAGATCAAATAGTGGAAGAAAATAGTCACAACCATATATACCAAAGGATACAATTAAAAAAAAAAGTGAACACATATGAAAAGGACAAATCACATTTTAGAACAGGAGAGGGATGCGGGGGGCGGGGAAAGGAAGGAAACATCCCACTCTTCCCACCTCTAATATCATCACTTCACAGACACTTACCTTCCTTCCTTCCCCCCTCCCCTGCATTCCCCTCTTGTTCTGAAATGTCCCTCCCTTCCCCCCCCCCCCGCATCCCTCTCCTGTTCTAAAATGTGATTTGTCCTTTTCATATGTGTTCACTTTTTTTTTTTAATTGTATCCTTTGGTATATATGGTTGTGACTATTTTCTTCCACTGTTTGATCTGAGGAAGTGGGTCTGGCCCACGAAAGCTCATCATCTAATAAACCATCTTGCTAGTCTTTAAAGTGCTACATTGTCCTGCATTTTGCTTCAGCTACCCCAGACTAACACGGCTACATTTCTATCTCTATCCAGTGAGTAATATTGTTTTTACAAGGGAAAGAATTTTTTCTCTGAAAAGCTGGCTTGAAATGAATCCACACCAGGGCACACAAGCTAAAGTTCCTTTACTAGCAGGGCAGAGAACATTTTTACTATGTTTTTTTTTCTTACTATATATTTTTAAAAATGTGCATCTGTCTATGAGTCCATTTGTTCAAGAACTCCACCTAACTGGTAAGAGCTAGGACCACCCAATTTGGTACGCAGCTTCCTCTAATCATAACTTAAAGCAAGGTCAGGATTTGGTTGTGCCAAAACAATAGAACATGCCTGGAATTAGATTGTTTCTCATAAAATGGAAAGGAAAGGATCTAGAAGGAGGGACTTTGTACTGTAGAATTACCATAGGGGGGCAGCAGGAAGGGGCCAGATATGGGGAATGCGACAGCTATAACCCCATGGGGCCAGCAGGGAGCATGGATAAAGAAAGGGACTGCTATTTACTATATATTTCAGAGAGTGAGTTTGTCTGTCTGTCCCCCAGCTGGGGTACATGAAACCCTCCCCTGGTTATGCCTGCTGT